GCCCCCATTGGTCTACATGGGTTTTACATCAAATTTGTTTGAACATATCTTCTGAGCTTGATCTTGCCATGATCAGCGCTTTATGATAAGAGCTGTTCTTCAAAACAGGCTCAAAATCTTTAGATTTACTAGCGTTACCGATGATTGGTTTACTTTCATTTTCAAGAAAACCTACAAATCACTTTTCAGATCGAGTCCCGTTCCGTTAACCATCTACAGAAGCTCAACTCCGGCCTTGAAAATAAGATCATAGATCTGCAAATGAAGCTTGACACAGTGGTTTGTTATTTGCTCATTTACAAGAAAAAAATCTGAGTCATGTGACAAATGACGACTCCTCTAAAATTGTCCCTGCCTTTAGACATCAGATCGCAACCGGCTAGCTGCAGCTGAAGTTCAGCTTCAAAGAATACGTGCCGAACTGATTTCTGCAGAAGCAGAGAAGTGAGTTAATTTTACTTAATGTTACTTTCATCCTCGTTGATTGTAGACGTTTGGTTTTCAATTTTTCAGGCGAGAACTCAAAACGAAGTCCGAGAAGGTGGAAGAACTTGCATTGGAAGTTGAACGTTTGGAGACCGAATGCGATGTGAAAGAGGCGCAGAAATGTGAACTCGAGACACGAATTAAAGAGCAGACCTGCCGGCAAGAGCAAGTTGGTGTAGAATGGAATTTTTTACGGAACCCATTCTCAGTAGTATTTTCCAGCTGCAAACGGAATTTTCTGCGAAAACTGCAGAGCTCACTGATCGCCTGGATTCTTCGGTTTCTAGAGCTGCAGAGCTTGAAGCTGAGTTAAAGAAAACGCAGGCTGCACTGGCTCATGGTTAGTAAATCAGAGATAGCTTTCAAGTCCATATCTGGATAGTTTATTTGTTAGGCCTTAATTAAGCCAATGTCCAGGCTTAAGCTCGTATATTTTAACGTTTTTACACTCTTGTTTTTCTTATGATTACTTTACAACAGAAAAGAAACGAACTCGGAGAAAACAATGGAGCAGCTATGGAAATATGTGGTAGTATATATTCGGAAGTAAGCAACGAAGATCTATACCCATAGCGATTG